ACACCTGTCCCCTACCGTGTTTTCTAAAGGACTTTCGTTTTCGATCTTCCATAGCGATTAAAAAAACACGAGACACCTTTCCCGGAGACGTGAGCCCTCGGAAATTGGAATCGACGAGGAGGATAAGACCCTGGATAAGGCGGGGCACAAAGGTTGCACACGCGATCATAGATTTCTACGAGCAATACCGTTCCATTAGTTAAATTGTTTCCCAGATACGGGTCCGCGTTCTTTGACTCGAGCTTTCATTTCACTTTGCCCGGCGGATAGACGGGCCTACGACGCGATTCCAGGTTATCCTCTACCCCCGGGGAGACGATAAGAATATACCGTGAAAGAAGAAAGGGACCCGTGGGGAGACGGGCGATCATTTGATTGCGGATAGATTAAGGTACATGGGGGGGTTTTGTAGCGCCCGACAATGCAAACCGAACGTTTTGTATTGGCTTCGAGTCAATACGCGATACCGATCCGACGATGGAATTGGACTTTTTCTACTCGATGAAAGGGGGGACGCGCCACGACGGAGAAACGAGGCTGGAGGAACATCTTGATTCCCTGGTAAAAAGGATGCAAACGTCTGGAGTCGCGAAAGAATCGGTTTAATCTGCTCGGTGATTTGTTAAATATTTTCCCTCCAAAGGGATATCCAGAGTGAAATGTTTTCTGAAATTCTGTCCTGATGCCGGCCACAGGTGGGACTGCTCGATCGATCAGAGAATCGTCCGATCGTCGAGTCCCTTCGGTTCACCCCAGAGTCGGCCGTTTACATCTATTAACAGCAAACCACGAAGTTCGGGGGGGGGAGGGTGGTCGTCGTTTGCTCTCCGCTGGGAGTCGCACATCTGGCGTGCGAGCAACAAGTATACGCATTAAATGTACACCCGTTACCGACTCCAATTACTCGGAGTACTCTGGCCTCACGCGTGTGCACCTGCACGCGCAATCTTCTATCTTTGCCCGCGCACTTGCCTCCGGACACGTCTGCCCATGAATATACGGGGCTACGTTCGTTTCACGTGAAAAAAAACACCAAAAGTGGTATTTTAGTCGGTAAGGTAGGGAAATTTCTACTTGTCGGTAAGATAGAACAATTCCTACTTGTCGGTAAGATAGGGAGCCCTGACGGTAAAGTAGATTTAATTACTCCGTTGTAATTTATGTTACGGAATTCCGTGTACGTTGCAACGACGGCCGTTTTAATTATTCAGTTTTAATTGCGTCAGTTTTTCCGGTGTCCTTTGTATAGAATTTAGATCATGGACATTCCAGGAGCGTGTGCTATCGACTATGGGACGCCGCCAAGTATTCGTTCGATTCGTGTCAAGGCGTAGCGAACGTGAGAAACATAGTAACGAGCATGATCGTTCCAGATTTCAAATAAAGTCGAACTGTAGACAAAGTCGGGATCGAAATATATTTCGAGTTTCTGCACCGATGCTCCCCCCCGTGCAGTTTACGATAATCCGGAATAATAACTTATCGGATCGAATGGATTTCGAGTTGCGTTGTAATCTCTCTCTCTCTCTCTCAGAAAAAAAAAGAAAACGTGCCCCTGATATGCATCGAATGCACACGGATGCAACGCGTTTCTCGGTAGGTGGATGCAATCGTGGACTACGTACATGGAAGCCTGGTCGTTGGTACGCGCACGCGCGCCACGAGTTTACATACTACACACGTGTTACTATAGATGTTACTACGGCGAGTACTCTGTAATCTGACACAGAGCACGGAGATTGAACCCGACTGAGCGGGATTCGTTGAACCGGAAGTAATCCCGCGGGGAGAGCAAAATAAAAAAAAGAAAAAAGGAGGGTAAAAATTGCTCGATTTCTTTCTGCAACGGGATGCACCGCGATCGAGGAAAACGGAAACGTCTATTAGCGTGTCTTTTCGCGGAACGTCGACGAAGAAGGTCGCGAATTTCACAGCGCGGTGGAAAAAAAAGGGGGAAGTCGGTGGATTACACGCGATGAGCGTCACGTGATCCAGAGACGAGTGTCCGGTAATCTGTAAGCTTGCGGACCGGACACAATCGAGCCCCGACTGCTGACCCGGAAGTAATCCCTGGAAAGAAGGTAAAAAAACGTAGCTTTGATACTTGTACAGCCCGGATACTCGTAACCGTGCCACGAAGCATTACCGCCCCTATATAGATGTACACTCGAGAGACCTTATGGGTTATTTCAGATAGACGTACGAGGGTATTGTCCGATTCGAGATTCGTCGAGTGCCGATCGAGCACTCGAGCGGAGCTTTATTGGAAGCTACATGTGCCCCTCCCCCATCTCTCTCTCTCTCTCTCTCTTTTCAGCCTGTATCTATGTGCACACGGTGTCCCGGAAGTATCGCGTACACTTTCCACCTAACATTTCATTACGCAACGGATCCAAATTCGAGTTTCTCCCGGCTCGAGTCGGCTTACCCACGAAATCGCGGGGGTTCTCGTTTTGTTCGAATTTACGCTTTCTCCGTTGGAATTATTTAGTTGAGAGAGAGAGAAAAAAGCGTCTCTAATCCTTCCCGGCGAGTAATCCTTTTCCTCGCGCCCGGGAGAAAAAGAATCATGCTCGAGGGGCGGCGGAGGGGGTGGCCAGTGAATTTCGAAAAGCGCGGGTCGCCCCGTCTCGCGTTTTTACCCCAACGGGAAACCGTCTCGTTTCTCCCCGATTGCGCACGAGGGAAACGATAATCCAGATAAGCTGCTAAATGCTAGCAATTTGAGCGCCCGGGATCTCTAGAAACAATATTCCGTACTTGAAACCGAATAATGCTGGCTAACAGCCCCCGGGACTCCCTTATACCGGGTGCTTCCGATCCAACCGCCCTACGAAACCGGCCATTCGGATTCGTCTTGAATACACCGCGATTATTGGATCGTCTCTCCCTAGATTCGCTACCAAAACACCGTCTCGACTCTGCCGTACTTATAAGAGGAACATCCATGTTTCATCCGCTCGAATTTAACAGTTTTAATGCGTTTTTCGGGGTTGGGGGTCACCGGTGACCTCCGCGGCGCTGTGGACCACTCTTACGATTATCAGTTTTTTCCTCCCGATTTTAGGATGAATTTAGCGTAATTGACGATGATGAAGCTTGCATTTCTTGGAGCAATTGCGTACAGGAAAAAAACCTCGTCGCGAATTAAAAAAAAAATAGTGGAAAATGCAAGGTGTGTTTCTCGTGCATTAATAAAACTATTTTTTTATGTTCTATATGCCATTAGTTTCTTCAAACCATAGAATAATTATTGAGAAATTTATCAGTATTTACTTTGATTATTTATTTTTATTATTGGGTCAACGGTCACCGGTGACCTCCGCGGCGCTGTGGACCACTCTTACGATTATCAGTTTTTTCCTCCCGATTTTAGGATGAATTTAGCGTAATTGACGATGATGAAGCTTGCATTTCTTGGAGCAATTGCGTACAGGAAAAAAACCTCGTCGCGAATTAAAAAAAAAATAGTGGAAAATGCAAGGTGTGTTTCTCGTGCATTAATAAAACTATTTTTTTATGTTCTATATGCCATTAGTTTCTTCAAACCATAGAATAATTATTGAGAAATTTATCAGTATTTACTTTGATTATTTATTTTTATTATTGGGTCAACGGTCACCGGTGACCTCCGCGGCGCTGTGGACCACTCTTACGATTATCAGTTTTTTCCTCCCGATTTTAGGATGAATTTAGCGTAATTGACGACGATGAAGCTTGCATTTCTTGGAGCAATTGCGTACAGGAAAAAACCTCGTCACGAATTAAAAAAAAAATAGTGGAAAATGCAAGGTGTGTTTCTCATGCGTTAATAAAACTATTTTTTTACGTTCTATATGCCATTAGTTTCTTCAAACCATAGAATAATTATTGAGAAATTTATCAGTATTTACTCTGATTATTTATTTTTATTATTGGGTCGACGGTCACCGGTGACCTCCGCGACGCTGTGGACTACTTTTACGATTATCAGTTCTTTTCAAGCTGTTTTTCTCCCGATTTGCAAGCCGTGTTACGAAAATAGAAGCAAAGAATTCTACTAGAAAAGTGGTGACACCTTTCCTTTGAGCGTTTCATTGTAACACAGATAATATGTACATTTCTGATGCATTAATAATACTATTTTTGTGCATTCTATATGCCATTAATTTCTTCAAACCATAGAATAATTATTGAAAAATTTATCGGTATCTACTCCGATTATTTATTTTTTTACTACTTCTCGCCGGTCACCGGTGACCCCCAACGATTAGAGCCGGGAAATAAAATACACGAGGACGTAAGATGGCGTGTAACGATACAAGGAAAAGTTTAGAGCGAAGCTAGAGGCACTGCAACAGAGAGAGAACGGGAAGAAGTGTCCGTGGCGCGGAGTGAAAGTCCTGAAATAAAAACCAGGCCAGGGCTTCGTATCTCGACGAGAACACACCGGGGCCATTATGCAATTACGGCGACGCATTTGCCACCGTCTTTCCAGCCACGTCCCCGTTTCCCTTAGTAATTTACCGCCTAAATCGCTCAAAGTTTTGAAATTACCGCCGTTAACCGATACGCGGGTACGATTTTCCGAATCACGCCTGTGCCGTATGCAACCGTGCAACCACGCAGAGGTTCCCCGCCCGCGAAATTTGATTCGATCCCTCTCTGTCCATGTTCGGCGAACGCCTAAAGAAATTTAGGAGCCCCGCGTATCGGAACGCCGGTCACAGGCGATCGCGCGGAACCGTGAACCAAAGAGGAAACATGGAAATGCTTTTTGCAATGAAAAAGACTCGAATATTAAACTGGAAACGCGCAACGTTCGGCGATTCGTTACGTAAGCGACAGACCATGCCCAGCGGCATTTACTTGCAAAACACACGCAATTTCGTCGACTCTAGGATGGACAATGTTCCGTTTAACTCAACATCCTTGGATCAGAGACTAAGAACCACCGTTTCGAACGTGTTGAATCCGACTCTGCGGCATACGCACAGCTTTTGTAAAGTGAAATTACTTACTAAGGTGCGAGGTGGTGTAGGCGAACAAAAGCAGTCCGGAAATGAGTCGCCGTGACGTCGCATCCATTTTTTGGTTCCGGCTTCCGTTGGCGCCAGTCCTCTTCTCTCTCGCTTACCGTTGACACGGGGGATGGCACATGTATACACATACGAACCACACGCGCGCACTTATGTTTGATCTGGAATTCGAAAGGAACACCGTTTCAGGTTCTCGACCATCAAAATTTACCAGGGCCTTTTCCCCTAACTTTGTGCTTCGAGCTGTCGCGATCAAAACACACGCGAGCTCTGAATCATCAAAAGGAACATTCGAAATCGATCGCGTGAATCGAGCAACTCTGTTCACCAGTGTTTTGACCTCCATCCAACGTTTTCTTCGAGAGCGGAGAAAGTGCAAAACCAATATTTATCGACGTGTGTGAACAATCGAGAGACCAACCGAAGAAGTTACGATGAGAACTGACCCAGGAGGCGCAGAAAAATTGAAACAGGAGAATTCCGAGGAACGTGTTGACCATTGACCGAGACAACGTCGACTGATCTGAAATTCTCGGACTGGACTGTTGGGGCACACCTTTCCCGCGAGGCCTGACAGCTTTGAAAAACGCGTGTTGCGGCCTCGAGCACTCCGCGAACGTTCATTCTACTTTCTATCCGCGCCATACAAATGCCCCCCCACTGTGGGAAATCTACCTTATCAATTTCCATTCGCGATCGAGTCTGTAGAAGCTAATGGGACACGATTCAAATCGAGGATCTGGTCCCTTAAAAAACACGTGCAACTCTGGGAAATATGGTAAGGTGAGAGTGAAACGCGATCTCGGGACAATTAAAATGCCATCGCGTTGGGGTTTCGCACGTTGCATCTTTAATTGCCAACGTTACGTTCGCCAGCGATATCCAGACGAGAGAATCGATCGACAGAGAGCAAGATATACAGTTGCGGACAAAAGTTTCCACTCGGATGGATTTCCAAAAATCATATTTCATTTCACAGTGGAGGACCACGAAAGGCAACAAGGATCGATCGTTTAACGATGATCTAGAGAGGATGTGTCACTCTCATGTTGTTCGTTTATTTATTTGGGGGACGTTGATGAAAGATATGATGTAAGGTACCAAAATGTTAACAGTGAAACATGCTGGAGAACATCGTGGGCCCCGAGGATCATCTTTGGGCAAGAATTTAGGCTTGAAAGAGCATGAAATAACTAGATCCTCCAACAGATACACATTAAACACAGACAATGGTTGCTTTCGTGAAGAATATTAATAAAAATTCTTTGAGTTAGGTGGAATATAGAATGAAACCTGGCTGACCATTCGTGGGTCTCAAGGATCATGAGTGTTGCATCTTAGGCAAGAATTTAGGCTTGAAAGAGCATGAAATAACTAGATCCTCCAACAGATACACATTAAACACTGACAGTGGTTGCGTTCGTGAAGAATATTAATAAAAATTCTTTGAGTTAGGTGGAATATAGAATGAAACCTGGCTGACCATTCGTGGGTCTCAAGGATCATGAGTGTTGCATCTTAGGCAAGAATTTAGGCTTGAAAGAGCATGAAATAACTAGATCCCCCAACAGATACACATTAAACACTGACAGTGGTTGCGTTCGTGAAGAATATTAATAAAAATTCTTTGAGTTAGGTGGACTTTGGCTGTCCATTCGTGGGAATTAAAGGAACTATGAGTGATGCATCTTAGGCAAGAATTTAGGCTCAGAAGAGTATAAAATTGTCAGCCAAAGCACTGTTAGACAATGGTTGTCCTCACAGACAATATCAATAAAAACTGTTTTAGAAAATATTTGCAGGGTTCTGTATATCCATTGGTGATTCGTGCACTGTTTGTTGGCAGATTCGCGGAAACACGCAACGTTTTATCGCATTACTGCGGAACTCTCCGCGCGATAACGCCACAAAGTAGAAATGGAACGTGACGGGTCGAGCCAAACGCGCCATCTTTTACGGGCATTAAATATCGCTCAGGTCGAGGTTTGTAGAATACAACCGCGGTTGTTTTGCAAGGAAAATCGGTATTTTTATATCGAGTCGAGGGAACTTTCACCCGAATCGACATCCGTAAGATGTAATGCCTTATTTACCTTGCACCTCCACGATTCCTCACTTCATCCCTCATTTCGTATCCTCTGTCGGTCCCTCGACCATCCTGCCCGCAATCGAACCATCACAAGTTACTCGAGCATGATCGAAAACCACCACGCGTCGCGTATCGACAGAGAACGTGTTCACAAACAACTGGACGAACAATAAAAATTCCAAGGCGAATGGAGAACCGATCGAGGCACCCGGGTTTGACGAAAGGGGCCGACGAAGATACGACTCGTACGCGACGGTTAGCACCGGTTAACTGGACACGCTCGTGACCGTCTACGGAATTATCCGGGTGTTCGAGAAAGGGCTAACCTGTGTCGGCTACGCTGGTACGCAAAACGCAGCGCGGCAGAGAGAGCCAGGGTGAGCCCGCGCTAAGCTCGCTCGCTCGCACCGGGTGCGTGGAGCGCGCGTTTTCGGACGTGGAAGGACTAAACGGGGGTTACGCGCGTACCGTACACGGCTCCGGGACATGTATTGGCGGCCAGGGAAGCTCCACCTATCACGGGACAGAGTGGGAGGGCACAGGGACGACCTCGAGCTTGCGCCCTCGAACGGCTCCGCGATCCAAGCACAACCCCTTCCTTGGCTTTTTCCCAACTTACGAGCTTGCGGTGCACCCCCCCCCCTCCTTCGCTACCCCTGGCCCTGCAAACACCCCCCACCCCCCCTCACACCCCCAGGAACCTACCACCCCGACGTAGTCACCATTACCGACGCCGGTTCTGCGCCCAATCTCACCCACCCCCACCCCCACACCATCCTGGATACCTGAAGAGCCCCTGCCTGACACGGTCGTCGCTAGTAATGGGACCAATACCCTCGCGTCGACTTATCGATACCTTCGAGATTCGCGATTGTTATCGGTTCAGGCTGAAAAAATCGCCAAGATGCCCGACAATGGCACCTAAACTACCCCTAGCAGAATTCTGATCCTTCCTCCGGGTCGAGGAACTTTCACAAGCCTATCAGTGGAGGAGGATGTTGAAGGATGATTGACTTTGCGTCATACGAGAGCTTCAACAATGTTCTCATCCAAAACAGGGCTAACCTGTTCACCTTAACCCTTGAGAGGATCATTGGAGCCTCTGCAAGTGTGATGATGTCCTAGAAGCCTAGTAATGGAGGAAGATGAAAGCTTCAACAATGTCCTCATCCAAAAAAGTAACGAAAAAGGCCTCTAAAAGCTTGATAGTGGAGGAGGACGTTGAAAAATGATCGACTCTGCAGAGTACGAGAGCTTAGACAATGTTTTTAACCAAAAAAGTAATGAAAAAGGACTTTAAAAGCTTGTTAGTGGAGGAGGATCTTGAACAGTGATCGACTTTGCAGGCTAAGAGAGCTCCAACGATGTTCTCATTCAAAACAGGGCTAACCTGTTCACCTTAACCCTTGAGAGGATCATTGGAGCCTCTGCAAGTTTGATGATGTCCTAGAAGCCTAGTAGTGGAGGAAGATGAGAGCTTCAACAATGTCCTCATCCAAAAAAGTAACGAAAAAGGCCTCTAAAAGCTTGATAGTGGAGGAGGACGTTGAAAAATGATCGACTCTGCAGAGTACGAGAGCTCAGACAATGTTTTTAACCAAAAAAGTAGTGAAAAAGGCCTCTAAAAGCTTGATAGTGGAGGAGGATCTTGAAAAGTGACCAAATTTGCAGAGTATGAGAGCTTCTAGGATGTTCTCATCCAAGAAAGGGCTAACTAATTAAATAATCACTAAGTTCAACTAATGATGTCATAGAAGCCTAGTTGTAGAGGAAGATGAGAGCTCACAATAATGTCATCTAAAAGAGTCTTGCCTTAGCCCTTAGGTGGATCATTCTAGCCCTCTGACAGCTAAAACTGATACACGTTAGTGTTCCACAAGCCTAGCAATGGAGGGCAATGTTAAGAACTGATAGACTTTGATGACCTTAAGAGCAAGTGGCCCCAACTCGACATGAAGAATTTGTAACACATCAGACGTTGCCCATTTAACTAGAAGCCTAGCAATGGAGGACGATCTTGAAACCTGATGGACTTTGATGACCTTAAGAGCAAGTGGCCCCAACTCGACATCAAGAATCTATAACAAGTCAGACTCGCCATTTAACAAGTGCAAGGGGTTGGCATTTGCTTACGTGGGAATAATTGCAACGTTCGTAACGTGGGCGTCGTAGAGCGTCCCACGCAAATTTGTAAAACACGTAATCGCTGGATACTATTTATCCCCTGTCTGCGTCACCGATGGTACCAATGGCCACCCACGTACACCCTCGAATAGGTCAGAGTTTGAAAGCACGTAGGCGTGAAGGGAGCTCGAGAACGATTTTCGTCGGATCCTAGCCATCGCTAGATAGACGTAGACGAAATTTGAACTAGGAGGAACGGACCGCAAGTACGCGGAGGATTTCGCCAGAGGTTCAGGAAGGGAGGTCAGACGGAAGGAGGGTAGCCTTTTGCAGCTGGAACTGCAGCTCTCGTGCCTTCTTGTAACAAACTGCGGTCGGAGTTTTCGTTCTCTCCTTCTGGCACGGTTCAAACGGACGTTCCGCCTCCCTCGATACGTTCCCCCCCGCGTGCACGACGCTACACCCCCCCCCCCCCACCCACCCACCCCCCTCGTGTTTTGTGTTCTCAGGCTCCGTAGCCTTTAATGAATGTAATACGATTTCGTTGTCCCGGCAAAGAATTCGAAATCAGCTTCCAGCGGGCTTTATCCGGTCCCCGGACCGTGTTGGTTTACGCGCAGGGAGGCGATCGGACGATACAAACGGAGAAACCGGAAAGGAAAACGCTCAAAGGCAGGCACCACGTGGGGTGAATTAAGGAAAAAAAGCAACAACGAGGGAGAAATATTGCAAAAAAGAGTAAATAAATTTCGGCGCTTTCGTTTGGAGTGGACGCTGCTCGCACGAATGGGCGTGTCTGGTGTCAGCTTTCGGGAAAATGGTGATATAAGCATGCTCCTGTGCACGTTGCTGAATCCTCGCACACAACGAGCGACCGATAGCCCTTTCGATCGCTTAATCGCCCTTCAAACCCGCTACTCCACTATTTTTCGTTCGTTTTTTTTTTCGCTCTCGTTGACAATTCCCAGCGATGGACAGACCAAAGTCGCGAATATATTGACAAAACATCGGCTCGATAATATCACGACGCACGTTGGGGAGGTTCGAGTGCCACAGCAATTATCTCCGCGACACCGAAGAAGTCCTGGATCCATCGTCGATCGCGTTCAACGCAATTATACGCGAACGGGAGCAGCCGGTTAAATCGAGAGATTATTTATGCTCAGATAAATCCGCGTAATGAGACCATCGACAAGTGCATTACAAGATGATTAACCCGCCGGGGCGATTAACGACGGTTCGGTTGCTCGAGGAACAAAAATGGCGGTAAGAAAACGACCTAACTATCGGTCGTCGCGTGTTTCGCGCGATACCGCCGCGCAGCCAGCTTTCCACGGTCGTTCGCGCGAGCTTTAAGTGTGCCCGGAACGGGTCTCGTGGTCGATGAAATTGTTGCTTTTAACGCGGCTGCGATTTCTTTTCCCCCCATCCACCGGAGGAATGGCTCGCAAACAGCCAGCCAACAACATCGCGAGGATCGATGCTGATCTATGCAGGGGGAAATGAAACGTGACGCGTGGAACTGATTGATTTTATCGACGATTTATGTTGCATTTAAATAGCTAAAAGGGTCAAAAGAGTATCGGAGAAAGTATTTTTTTTTTACTGAGAGAATGTTCGGAAGCAAATATCGTGTGGTTGGTTCGTAAAATGATGAGGTTGACAGGTTCGTTAAAACCGAGCGCGTCCCATCTGCTTTCAATCGCGTCGCTGATTTAATTAAACATATTCCGTTATTGAGCAACGTCGGGTAATAAGCGGGTAACAGAATATCTGGAAGGACACGTCGATGCGTATTTTCAACGACAATCATCGAGCACGGTATTCCTGGCCGATTGATTGACACCGAGTTCCGATTTAATTTCACCGATACGCGCCCGGAGGAGGCCCACCGTGCACTCTGGGATCGATAGTACGGGTCGATACCGTTCCTATCAAGCACCTGGAGATCTCTATAATTACTCGTTTACGCGATAATAAACTGCTCTTTTATTTACATGCAAAATGTCCACTCAACAGTGACAAGAATTGAATTTGGTTCACCTGGACTACCCTCTGTTCAAGCTTGTTTTTCGTTTGCAAAGTTTCTTTGTGATCTGTCCCCCTGGTGCAAGCTTTAGACGACTACCAGGCACCTGGAGATCTCAATAATTACTTCGTTTTGCGATAATAAACAGCTCTTTTAGGCACTTGTCGAACGCCCACGCAAGAAGGACACCCTGACTTGAATTCCCCCTAATTTGAGCTTGTTTTTGGTTTGTAAAGTTTCTTTGTGATCTGTCCCCCTGGTGCAAGCTTTAGACGACTACCAGGCACCTGGAGATCTCAATAATTACTTCGTTTTGCGATAATAAACAGCTCTTTTAGGCACTTGTCGAACGCCCACGCAAGAAGGACACCCTGACTTGAATTCCCCCTAATTTGAGCTTGTTTTTGGTTTGTAAAGTTTCTTTGTGATCTGTCCCCCTGGTGCAAGCTTTAGACGACTACCAGGCACCTGGAGATCTCAATAATTACTTCGTTTTGCGATAATAAACAGCTCTTTCAGGCACTTGTCGAACGCCCACGCAAGAAGGACACCCTGACTTGAATTCCCCCTAATTTGAGCTTGTTTTTGGTTTGTAAAGTTTCTTTGTGATCTGACCCCCTGGTGCAAGCTTTAGACGACTACCAGGCACCTGGAGATCTCAATAATTACTTGTTTTTGTGATAATAAACCCCTCTTTTATTCACTCGTCGAATGTCCACTCAAGAGTAACAAGAATTGAATTTCGTCGACCTCCCCCATGTTCGAGTTTCTTTTTCGTTTGCATAATTTCTTTATGATCTACCCCCCTGGTGCAACTTTTACAGGACACCCCGAGACACAGGGAATTCTCGCACGAGCGACCGG